AAAAAAATAATTAATTTCCTAAAAAATTGAATAATACAACTTAATATAATGTAAATATCATGCAATGTATCTAAATTTATTTTTATGAGTTCATTATGTGCATAATTGAATGGGTAAAAAACATTGCATTAGAATCAAAAGAGAGATAATAATTCTACAATGTTAAAATTTTAATGTCACCTGCCTTTAGAACTAACTCAAGATGCGACTGATACCAGTTGATACATTTTTATTTTGTATTTAAAAATTTTTTTTTTACTTTTTGCTTAAAGTACTAATTTCATTAATTTAAATAAAACATAAGTCAATTTACATTTTCATCATTTTTTTTTTTTTCTGAACAACCTGGTTCCCATGTCTGTGAACCAATTTTTACATCCATCACACATGGTTTTTTCATGCCTGTGGTAATATCATCCAAAACAATGAATGTCATATCTATGCAATAAAATAAATTAAATTTAGTTGTATTGCAAAAACTAAGAAAATAAATATCATACATTAAAGTTTACATGAATCTACYAACCTATAGAATTTATTTGAACAGTAACAGTACCATAATATAATGGAACTAGTTTTCTGAGATTTATAAGGCTTTCATTTTTTATTAATTCTTCATAAAAGCGTACTTCATTCTTTCCTTTGGTACCACCTTCTACTGATTTTAATATGTAACCTTCCTTATGTTTCAATAAACCTATATAGAAAAGCAAATAAACAGCTTGTTGTGCACAAACAGTTATTTTATAATATTATACAAACCCAACAATGGTTTTTCTTTAGTAAATTTATGACCTCCAACTTGATTGTCGTATGGAAGTAGATCATCTGAATCCAACCACTTAGCCATGACTATTACTATGAAATATAAATTAAAAAATAATATTTTTATGTCCATCAAAATTAAAAGGTGTATGAAATAATACAAACCTTGTGAGAAGTTGCTGACGGCCTTGTGTTTTCAGTTAACATTAATTAATGACAGAACTTCAGTTACTCTAAATGATGACCATATAAGTAATAATTKATTGTTATTTTAATATTTTAGGCTATTTACATTTTTCGAAAAGTAATTACCGAAGAAACCAATTGAATTTTGTAAATTTAAAAAAATTCGAATTTTGTTTTGGTACTCAAAACACAATTTTCTATCGCGTATGTGTTGAATACTTTGATATATATTAAATTTGATTGTTAAACTTTACAATCACACGGAATGMTTAAAATGACCACATAAAGACAAGGCGTCCAATTATATTAAATTGTTGCTTCAGAGTTTAAACATGATTCGCAAGAAGGAACAAGAAAACACAGACACCAGACACTAAAAGATGACTAGATGAGACATAATAGACATATGTTTCGCGAGTGATAACTATTAACTAATCAGTAATCTACTATCGCAATCGTCATTCGATAAGATGTTTGGATCAAAAACGTAGTCGACGCGCCATCTGTATACACACAGTAGCAAAAACTTATGGTTTAATGATTGGTGCATGGTGCATGTAAGGAATGGTAATTGGTAACAAAGTCCATTTTGAAAAAAGTTGAACACAAAGTCGGGATTCATTTTTTTTATTGTCAGGCAATAATTTCGAAAATATAAAATATAATCTATTAAAATTTCATTTAAAATTTMTTTATTGTATAGGTATACCTAGTTAATTCATAAGTATAATTAATATTCAAATGTAATTACGAATGAATGTTATTAATAAGTAGGGAGCTGGATAATGATTTTTTTTAAATTAAATTATTGTTGTACTTTTTTTTTCCTAACGAAACAGTATAAACTACTAAAAACTAAAAAGTAGGTACCTCTTAAACAAAAAACACGAAACGTGAAAGATGCATATGACCGTATACCTATTCGGTGCTTATGTACTGCTTAAGCTATACTTATGAATCAAATGAGATTCATAAACGAGACTTTAGCTTTAGACAAGTATTGCTTGTTTCTAAGGTAGTAAGGTTAGGTTAGGTTAGGTCCAGACTTACCTTAATCATTGCTTTTAGTTACTAATTTAGTATCAATTTTTTTAAATTTTTTTAATTATCACAATTAGCTTACACAATATACTTATTAATTATTCTTAAGAGGATGCAACACCCGTATTTGTTGTCTCAGTCTTACAAACAATACAMACGCGTTATTACGTTAGCTTAAAAATTAGAGTGAATAGATCTATTATGAAACTTGATGGTAAGAACATTATCTGTGTTTTATTATAACTATTTTTACGATAGTTAAGTTTTTAAGTGCGATATGAGCATTTTTATTTTACAATTTATTATACACGCATAACTCACTTAAAARCTGAATTATCGTAAAAATACTTCCAAYAAAACACAGATAATGTTCTTACCATCAAATTTTATAATAGGTCTATTCAGGCCCGTATACAGGGGGAGATTTAGGGGTTCAAACCCCTCGACATTTTTAAAGTAGTTATATATTTATAATATGTTATTGCAATCTTGCCGGAAGACGGACTTAGAATATTTTAAACCCCCTCCCCCCACCCCGAAAATTGATCCTGGATACGTGCTTGGGTCTATTCACTCTAATTTTTAAGCTAAATATCGGAGTAAAACGAGAAACTGCTGAGCGTAAATTTGTCATGCCACGCATTTGTAACACTGAGACAACAAATACAGGTGTTGCGCCATCTTAAGCATTGACTATATAAATATTGAATACGGCCCACAGTGTGGACTTTATATTTAAATTAGCGAGCGAAATTTTGAGACAAAAAAAAAAAAAAACGAGCATATTGATGATATAGTCATTATAGGCAACACTCGCCAAGAAGTAATGACAAGAACAAATGACTTAATAAGAGTAGCAAATCCAATGGGCCTAGAAGTTAATCATGACAAAACAATAAATATCTAGTCATGACTAGAGGCACAATTGACCACTCGGATCTGGGAGAAGGAAATTTTTTCTTCCAACAAATGAAAAATTTAATCCTAAGGGTTATTATGCGCTGCAGTACACTCCTCGGCAAATAGTCGAATGYCTGTACACCTGATCTGAACACCTGTACCCTAGTTTTCTCATCGAATCAGTTCTAACGTGCGCGTGCTTAACTGAAGGTGACGGAGAAAAATAATTGATTGCTTGGAAACTAATAACAAGATTCAACTTATTTAACAAAAACCTGGAATTAATGCATACATAATGAGTAAAGGAATCGAGTGGGCAGAGGACTCGTCTGGAGGTCGCCGTGATCGAATGAAATAATAAAGAAAGTATTTGAAGGGAAAGGTTAGGTTAGACGGGAAGAGACCTAGAAGTCGGCCTAGACAACGCTGGATTCACTGGGTCAGCGATGATCTTGTCGCTGTCTCTAACGATGTTTGCGAGATCGCCACCAAAAACTACCGGTTTGTCCGCTTCAGGTGGTGTGAGCCGCCGGCCAGGCCAACCGCGGATAGCGGCGACAGCTTTTCAGCTTTTGCCAGACCGACAGACCGTTGACGTGGGCACACCGTCACCAATCCAGACAAATAACAAAGTGTTCATTTATTAAAATTACAAATAAAGTGTGTTTCGCAATAAACCTGTCCGTT